AACTCATAAATAGCAGATAATTAGGTTACCGTACTCATGTTCATACAATTCACTGTATTCATAAGTCTTTTTTTCAATAACCTCCCCTTCCTCTTCACCTCCTCTGAACATATACCTCAAAGTATCGATTTTAAAGTCCTTCTATTCTACGAAGAAACAGGGGTTATATGTCTACTTTAAATTCGATATAAGTGGGATACTTCGAGTGCCTTTTCCATGCATGTTTATGACGTATTCTATATAAGTCTATTCTTAAATTTGTTTTCGACATTTTCAACGATTTTGATGGTGGTTCTTTAAGTCTCTTTATATGGTTGATAATTGCACTCGCCTACTTCATTCAGATACTCCCCTTTTTTGTTCTTTCTCTAACAGGTAAACCCTTGAGTCCAAGTCAAAATAATCTAAATGGTTTTAATGGATTTTTCGGTGAAGTGAGTTTTATATTATTGTTTAATGTGATTATTAATTTTTTAAATATTCCCATTGTTAATATTAGAATAAGATAATATAAGTGAACAATATTGTTGTTTTCAGTTAGATCTTCTTCAGGCCTTACTATAATTTGCTCGCTAGTGACTTGCTACATGACGAATTTTCCTGGAGTCATTTCTAGTGAGATGTCCAGTGAGATCCATCCAGACGTCGAGTGTGAGAATGAATTTCCCACCGATGATATTGGTTGGTGCCAGTTGGGCTAAATCATGAATTGGAAGAAGTTAGAATTCATGGGCTGGCCACTGAATCGGGTCTCAGTGGCTAAATTTTATACGAGCTGGCCTTGTGACCAGAAGGTCCTGGGTTCGAACCCCGTGATGTGGGTGAGTGCTGCCTGTGATTCTCAACCTAGTGGGATGAAACAGCTGTCCAGTACTCCCTGGTTTTCAATGATTCTCTAACTGATATCAATCCGTGGTCAAACTCTTAATAACAAATTTAATCCTTACAAACCTACTTTTGAAAATTAATCTGATGCTCGCTACTGACTTGCTACAGGACGGAGTTTCCTGGAGTTCAAGTGAGAAGTCGTGTCCAGTGAGGTCCAACCAGTCGAATGTGAGGATGGATTTCTCACAGATTAATACATAAAAACTTTAACCAATGACGTTGAGTGTGTGGACCAAATAACAATAGTCTGTTAAATTGCACCTGAAACTGCGATTTAGTGGAGACGTGGCTAGTGAAGTCCTACGTCTAATTATGACTGCTCATGAGAAAGATAAGCTGCCCAGCTATGCATTTACAAATTTAGCTGCTCCTGCGGAGAAAGCTATATAGAGCAGCTGAGCACCTTCCCTCAAGGTGATTCTCAAAAGGCCAATTGAAATCTTCAAGAAGTTCTATTTTTTCTCAGTTGATGGATGATAAAGGTCATCAAATGGATAGAAGAAGTGTCTTCAAAGCTACCTATCGCATACCATCGAACCTTTCGAACTGAATTCGAACCCACCTTTTTATGCATATTCGAAGCTATGGGAATTCCAGTGAACAATCCTAGTCTTTGCATACAAAAGAAGTTTGTCCTACCTTTGTTTCTCTCCCTTAACCTGGGTGAACTCTAATTAAAACCTTCTAACATTTTTATCTACCATTTCCTTTGTGTTTTATGATATTTATTTAAAATCTGATTATCTGTTCACTTCGCCTTTACTATTACGTAACTTTTAGGATCTGGCCTTATTTATTTATTGAATTGTCTACATATACGCATATCACTCACTTCCTTCGTTATTCTTATTGCCAACTGCATAAACCTTATTATCATTATATTTGCTATCAATATAATCTTCGTTATTTCTGACGTTTAAAACATTTAACACAATATTATTATTATTTGATCCACAAACTTACCGTCATTGGTTAGATTTTCTATGTATATAGCTATATAAATAAGAGCAAAGCCTAGAGAAGATCTAATTGAAAACAACAATACTGTTCGCTTGTACGTCTTGTTATATATGTAAATTTACTAAAATATCGTTATACTCACTTCAATGTAGATTTCTCTACGAAACGACATCACTTAAAGAATCAAATAAAAGAATAGGAGCACTGGATAGTCCCTTTATCTTCTTCTGGGATTCTGCTGGCGAAAAACCCAGTGGGATTCAGTCAACCATGAGTTTCGACCTTGTGATGCAGAGTCCCTGACAACTATAAGAAGATATGGCTTGGTTGAAGGCTTTTTGGCTTAATTCCACAGAGGTTTTGTGACAAATCTTCCTTTCCGAATGATTCACACATGTTATTATTATTATGGTTTCCTTGAATTCCTAGAGGAACATAGGGCTTCATCCGAACGTCTCCATTGCATTCACTTCCCCGCCAACGTTTTCACCTAACTCCACGTCAGTCAGCATGCTTTTATCTCCTCTTCACATCATCCCTTCCAATCCATGTCACCATGGCACTGACGATCAACTCACTGCTTTCCCATTCGAGTTCCAATCTAGCGATGGTCTGGCGTGTGATGTAACTTGATGGTTTGATTTCTCAGAGAATGGCCAATCCACCTCCATTTCTTCATGCATATTCATTACATAAATGGTTCTTGCTGGATTGGTTTGCTCCCAGAGATCCCTCCATGTTACTGATATTTTCTGTCCGGCCATCTGATCTTGAGTAGTATTGAGCGAAGACAACTGTTAATGAAGGTCTGTAGTTTGTTCGAAATGTTCTTCATGACACGGCGCGAAATCTCTGATCTGTATAGTGGGTAGCACTGACTTCACATTAGAGTTGAAAGTCCGGATCTTATTTTTAATGCTGAGTGCTGTTGATCTCCACATAGACTTGGTAGTAAAAAAAGCTTACCTTGTTTTCCCGATCCTCGCTCTGAAGTCCTCATCAGTTCCGTCCGATGACATTGGTTTGTTCCAGTCAGGCTAAATCACGAACTGGTAGAAGTTAGAATTCATGCGCTTGCCATCGAATCGAGTCCCAGTGAGTGACTGAATGGTCTACGAGCTTGCTTTGTGACCGGAAGGTCCTGGGTGTGAGTGCGTACTGCCGATGATTCTGAAACTAGGATGAAACAGTTGTCCGATACTTCCTGGTTTTCAATGGTTCTCTAACTGATATCAATCCGTGATCAACTCGTAAATACAATTCAGAAAGAAAAACGAAAACAAAAACGACGTATTTTGTGTTAAGATATAATATCAGGTCCATTGTAAATTTAATGACTGAACACACTTCTTTTGTATGCCGAGTTCAGGACTTAACATTCTATTTGATTTGCCAATGCTTATGAGGTTTGAAGAAATTTGATTCGTACTGTCAAGGAAAGATTCTCACGTATTATGGCGATGAATTTTAAGTTAGTTCGTGAGTAGGTTTAGTGTCCAGATTTGAACAGATGTTCCAAGATTGATCTACCAAGGGTAGGGGTTCGATGATACGTTTCAATAGAAAACGTTGGGTACGGCCGACATCCCCAGATAAACCGCTCACAAACTAGGCCACTGAAGGTTAGTTTACATCACGATTATTACTGTAAATAGACAATTCACCGATTTTCATAGGCGTTTTCCTCATCACTGGCATTTGGTTTTCACCGGTAAGGTGGTGATACCGTTTGTTATATTGTATATCTTCTTGAAAACATTTATTTCCCCATACGAATTTAAAAACAAGCAACAAAGGCTAATCAAGCAGGATTTAATGAATTCATCAAATTTCGGTAGAACTCATCAGCTGAATGCTCTACATACGAGGATATACGTATACTTTTGAAATTACATTGGGAGATATAAGACTGATAAGTAAACAAACTACATTGAATTAGTCATGCAGAAAGACAGGTGCGAATGTTTTCCAGGTCATCTTCAAATAGATAAGTGGGGCAAGGGAGTGTGAGAGATCAAAATTAAGATAAAATGGATTACGCTTCAATTACATCACTTAGATAAACAATTAGACATTAGAGAATATAACAAGAATCGCAAACAGAGTAATATCAGTAGTAATAGTTATAGTAACAATAATAATAATGTTGAAGTGAGTTATGATAATGCTACTGATAAAGGATAGTTTTAAATGAATCAATAATAATAAGAGGTAGAATAATAAGTGAAACGTAATTCTATGGTAGATTTAGAGTGACGACCATCTCCTTTTGTACACAGAGACCTGTTTTATAAACTCGAATTGCACAAGCCTCTGCACCTGCAAGCATCTTCTTGTTTCTTTGTCTGCTGACAACTGTGAATGACTTGACAGCGTCGATATGACGTTCATAGTCCACAAGACGTTTTGTTATTGAGGTTTTTGTCACTTGGCATTCAGGTGTTTTCAACCACTTTGACAAATGCTCCATCATGCGAGTAGACAATCGCCTCTCCGTACGACCTATGTATTTGCTTCCACAAACACATTCAAATTGATAGACGCAGTTTGAAGTGTCGAGGATTGGCTACTGGTCTTTCCCAGATTGCTGAAGCATTCACTTAGTGGTGTTAGGGAAAACAACTTTTGCAGCGTAATAATTTCTCTTGATGGCTTTATCGAGTCTTCGTTTGACTACTTACTGTACATCATCTCCTTTGAATGGCAAACTTATATACACAGATTCATTCGGAACTGTTTGGATAGTTTTGCAGGGGGTGATTTCTTAAGAGTAGTTATTGATGAACTTCTCAGGATGTCCATTCTTAAATAAAATAGACCTCAGAACTTTTATCTTATGCTCAATAGTACCGTCAGAACAAATTTTCCATGCTCTTTTGAACAGTGTTCTGACTAAGTTCTTTTTATACTGGATTGGAACAAAGCTCTTGAAATACATGTCCTGTCTATGAAGACTTTCTAAATATACATCTTTCGATTGTGCCATTCGTCTTTTTCGCTAGAAAAACGTCTAGGAATTTAATAGTATCGTTTTCCTTGTGTTCTATTTTGAAACTGAGATTCGGATGGCATGAGTTGAGTTTTATCAACATCTCTTCAGCTTTAGATCTGCTTCCACAGACAATAAATATCTTCTATTTTATTTTAAACAGGTTGTCACTGCTCCATGGGTTCGTGGGTCAACATCACCAATCGCTTGTCCAACACCTTATAACTATCCAACTATATACAATACAGGTGTTAGTCGGTCAAGAGGATGTATTATCAATCCAAATGCCTGTTGGTCGCCTACAACAACCTTGTGTAAATCACCTGTTTCTAATACGGAGAATCAACGAAAATTTATGCAAACGCCTACATCATTGTGTCATACATCTCCAACGCACACGTTCAGATTATTACCAACATTCACCGGTGGAGTGAATAGTAGTAGTAGTGGTAATGGGAACAGTGGGAACAATGAAGCTGGTCGACTATTCGATACATCAGTTTCTGGTGAGAATTCTACATTTTCTGGTCTACCCGGTGGTTTCATTCTACAGAACTACAGTCTACGCGATGATGATGATGATGATGGTGATGATATTGAAGGAGAAGAAGGTGGAGGAGGAGCAGGAAATAATCAAATTACCGCTATGAAAAATCGCTTACAGACTAGTACAGAGAAAAGAGATCTACAGAATCCTATGTCGGAGCAGATATTTTCAAAATCGCTAGCTAATAATCTTCATTGTGAAAATAAACTATGCGAAACAACCGAAATGACCCAGTCATTTTCATCGTTGAAACGAACAGCTATCAGTCTTGAAGAACTTAATGATTACAAAGATGAAACAAACTCTCGAAATTGTAAGTTTACAAATATTTTTGAATCTGGTTTTGTTTTCATCACTTTGTATTCCAATTGGAGTATGGGACTGCAAAGTTTCAGTGGCACTGATTTTCACGCTAATTATTGGCTAAGTGGTATTTCACAGACACGCCCATCGGTAAAGAATTGAATCCGTACCGCATTTTTAAGTGCTGCATCTTATTTACGATATGATTTTTCCCTATGCGATAAAGAGATCCTTGTAAACAGATGGTTGACAATGAGCCACATTTGTTTTGTAAAGGCTAGTGATAGTGCCTGAATGCTAAGATCATTTTAGATGAAAGAGAGTTTGAATCTGTCATCGGGTGATTGTACATTGAGCTCTTAGATCCGAACTCCTATGAATGAAACACTATTAGTTGACTTCTGATGTGGGTATGACTTTTATTATTTCAGAAGACGACGTCGATGGTTGAACTAAGCATACATTAGTTATTTTTCTTATAGATTAGCTCATAAATCCGAAAAAAGTTTCGTACAGAGTGTTACGGTTTACATAGAATCTAAAAACTAGTCAGTAACGATCTTCTGGCGCGATATGGAAAGCACCTCAGACAAACTACAGACCTTCATCAACAGATGTCTTCGCTCAAGATCAGATGGCCAGAAAAGATCAGCAACAGGGATCTCAGGGAGCGAACCAACCAGGAATCGATTGTGCAACAGATAAGCAGGAAGAAATGGGGGTGGATTGGCCATACTCTGAGGAAACCATCAAGTGATATCACTAGACAAGTCCTCGAGTGGAACCCGAATAGGAAGCGGCGAGTTGACCGTCCAAGGGTGACTTGGAGGCGGTCATGTGAAGAGGACATGAAAGCATGTGGGTAGACGTGGAGCAAGGTGAAAATGTTGGCAGAGAAGTGAGTGCAATGGAGACGGGCGGCTGAAGCCCTAGTTCGTCAAGGAATTAAAGGAAACAACAATAATAACGATCAGCAGTTATTTCGGAAGAAAGTCTGAATCGTTACTACGGAGACACATAGATGTGTGGACGCTTCTTGAAACACTTTAAACAACGAATTTTGCATTTTAGTGATCGTTTGTCCAACATTCTGATTAAAAGATTATGTGAAATATACATCTTCAGGAATATTATTCACTGTATACTACCTGCTTTGCAGTCAGTATCCCATGACTGTCCTACACCAGTCTTTCCACTTACTTATGACTGTACTACCTGTGAAATCCACATCTCCTGGATCCCTGTTTTAATCTATCAAGAACACCCTTCCAGCCTCTCCAGTAAATTCGGAGACTTACAGGCTAAAACCAGAAGACTATCAGAAGAGGCAGGCAGAAAAGAGATGAGTTCAGGTGAACATAGAAGAGACTGAGGTGATGGAAATAACTAAAAAATCACCATCAAATGGAGGAATTTGAAAGAGGTTAACTACTTCACTTATTTAGTCAGCATCGTATCAACGACAAGCGCCGGTATGGATGACGATGTGAAAACCAGAATCGCAAAGGCAACACAGACACTCATCACTGTAAAGTCTGTTTGAAAATCTTCTGCACTCAACCAGTATAAACGACAAATTTCAGATTCCCAACACTAATGTTAAGTCAGTCATTTCTTCTAACTGGGTGAGAGTAAGTCGGTGGCACAGCAATTAGGATGCTCGCCAACCATGCACGTGGTTCGGGGTTCGATTCTCGGCAGACGCGCTACTTTACCTAGCTAAGCCAGATATAAAGCTGGTAAAAAAGGAAAAGTTGGGCATGAGGCTAGCAACCCCATCCTGTAAAAATAAACACCAGTGCTACAGAAACTTCAAGCCTCTAACTTGAAGCCCTATATTCCACTGGGAACGTGAAGGAATTAATAATGATAATAAAAAATGGGTGAGAAACTTGGCACTTATCAACAGCTGCCTTTGCTGGTTGCATATTAAAGATCAGGTGGCTAGCTAGTCAGAATAAAATTAGCCACAAGGAACGTCGAAAACGAACCGACGAAGAAGCTGTTGCTAAATAAATGTACAGGAGAAAATGGAAGTAGATCGGACACATACTTAGGAGAGTGTTGAATGATATCGCGCTGCAGCCAGGCTATCTGTCAGATGTAAAAAGAAGGGAAAACAAAAAGTTGGGTGTTGATCTGAGTGTGACATGGCTGAAATCATGTGAGGAAGAGATGAGAGACTGTGGGAAATCATGGATGGGCCCAGCTAAAGAAGACAGCAGAGAATAGGAGAATGTGGAGATGTATTGTTGAAGCCCTATGTTCCACTCAGAACCCAAGGGAATAAAAACAATAATAAAAATAAACCTAATGCAGGATATTTTTGAGAAGTTATACTCGTAATGTATTTTCAGGCTAACTTTGCCTTTACCTATAACTAATCATGTTTGACAGACATACTTGATCTCTCTCGATAGGCTTCGAAGATGACTAATAGTTAACCTAAAGTTGTTTTACATATGAAGTGACTAAGAGTCAAATCTAAGATGTACATTTCAACATACTTAGAAGGTTTCAGACAGGAATACCTTTATTTCCAGTGATTGATGATATTCTCAGGTTACAGAGTACGAATCACATTCAGAACAGCAATATGCACTGGAAATACAGGTATGTTCAGTTGATGACTCCGAAATAGAACGAAATGCACAATTTGGATTTTGTTCCTAATGTGCTAAGTTTATAAAGCTTAAATCACGCTAAAGATTAAAGTGTTCGTTGACTGTTTTTTGATGCATATTGTTTATTGACATTTTTCATTACACTAGGATATTTAAAATAGTCCCTTTAATAAATTTGGATAGTGTTATTAGAAGACGGAGATTTTCTGAAAACTAATGTGGGATGTATTCGCGCTATACATTTTGAACAATCTGATACCTTACACATTTACTTGTCAAGTCGATATATGTGAAAACAATTAAGGGCAATTAAATTAAACAAAGTGACAAAAAAAGATTTAAAAATGATTAACACCACGTTTGGTAGTCCATTCAAATAAGGATTACCAAGGTAGGTTAAGTGTAATAATAAACTGTTTTTGAATACACAGTTTGCGGTCGGGGACTTAATTTTATGAATAGCTATAGCCTCAGCGTATTTCCATAAGTACCTTGACCGTTTTTACAGATGACCTTAAAGGCTGAGTTGACATCAATCTTATGGTTTATCTCGATTAGATGTTTAGCTATAGACGAAGTTGGTAGTCTGATACCTGTGTCTATTGGCTTTCCACAATTCATTTGTTTTTCTAACCATTTCAGGATATGCTCGCTGTCCCACCCTCATATGCGAAGCACGATTACTCCTCCCTATGTATGTGTGTCCACACACACACACAGACGAAAATTGGTAAATAGTGTGGGATGTGACATAATCACTTGTGCACTTTTGAGGTTTGCAGTGGAGCATATTTTTAGCTTTTTCAATAATTACAAGCCGGGATGCATAACAGATTCTACGGATGACCGAATTCAACCTTTGTCTCAAAATCCTACTGTTTATTTCCCCGTTATAACGTACTTTGATGGAGACATTTTTCTTAGGTTCGGTGTAGATTGTAAGTTTAAAGAGACTAACTGAATTCTACACCTGTTTAAAAATTTTAAAGGATATCCGCTTTCAACAAGAGTATCCATCAATAACATCAGCCGTGCACATACGTTGAATCCTCTTAAATAGACATTTCACTAAGCCTCTCTTATACTGTACGAGGACAGAAACTGTGAAAATTAAGGTATTGCCCTGTCCCAGTTGGCTTTCTGTAGATTGATAGTCTTATTGAACCATCATCTCTTCGACTCAGAAGTATGTCTAAAAATGCAAGCTGGTTGCGACTTTACCCTAGCATGTTAGACTTATATGATTCTGTACAGAGTAGAGTCTTATGTGCGGGTCATTCTTAAATCTTTTTATTTCTCGCTTTGTTTAATTTAATTGCCCTTAAGTGGTCTTTTTCATATATATCGACTTGACAAGTAAATATGTGAGGGATCAGATAGTTCGAAGTGTATAGCTCAAATACATCCCACATTAGTTTTCCGATAATCTGTGTCTTGTAATAACACTATCCAAATATGAAACTTATTAAAGACAATGGATTTAGATAAATAGAGAATTTCACGTGGCCTAGTGACTTAAGCAGGCTACCGAAGATTCATAAGGATGGCGTTATATGAATTTGATAGTGAACGTTAAGAACAAGAGTTTTAACCCAACATAATACGAGCTTGCTGTGTACCTGGAAGCTTTTGTGTTTCATTTTAAGGTATTCATCCCTTGTTAAAAATCTTCAAATAATACAGTAATCGATCATATACATTATCTGAAGCTTGTTCCAGGAATACTTCACAATGCTCTTACTCTATTTTCTTCGGAAAATTCTCAGAGGTCTATAGAGAAACTTATTTCAAATAGTGAGCTTGTATGAATTGTAACTCATTATGGATATTCATGTTGAAAACGGATATCCTTTAAACTTTTTAAACAGGTGTAGAAGTCAATTAGTCTCTTTAAACCTACAATCTATACCGCCACTAAGAAAAATGTTTTCATCAAATTACCATATAATGGGGAAATAAACAGTATGATTTTGAGACAAAGGTTAAATTCGGTCATCCGTAGAACCTGTGTTTGCAGCCCAGCTTGTAATTATTGAAAAAGTAAAAAATATGCTCATATTAATATATGTGTAAAACTTGGGCACTGTGGTAGTAAGTAATTCCATATTAGAATCTAAATCATCAATAGTAATTCCATACAAGAAAGGAACCTCGGAAGCCTTACGCAGAATTCTTAACAAGGCAGGAATAAAAACGGCATTCAAACCCACAAACTCAATTAGAAACAAGCTTTGTCGGTTAAAGGATCCTGTAGAGCCTTTAAGACAAAACAATTTAGTTAATCTCATACCCTGCAATGATTTTCAGGTCAAATACATAGGTCAAACTAGTAGAACAGGGGTAGTCAGACTAGCTGAACATAAAAACTTAGCAAAATCTTGATTGGTTGATCCAAATAAAAGACGGATTCAGCGAAGAAAATTTTCTTTATCGACGAAATCATCTTCAGAGGCTGTACAATATTTTTTGATTTTTTCTTTTCACTCTACTTTCACTTTTAGTTAGCTTTTGCTTCAATAATTAATTCGCTATTATCACTCTCATATGCTCCTTTTGTATATTTTCACACCCTCTTCACACTTGTTAAATTGACACTCAAATACCTTTATTCTCACTTAATAGCAATTTTAACCTTATCAAATTTCTATCTTTTTGCCGTTGAGTACCACGTAATTTTCAACTTCTAATTTTCACTTCTAAAGCCACTTCTGAGTAATTATATCAATTATGTCACCCCCTATTACTCAATAATAGACCACTATATATTTTTGTAAGTATAAATGCGATTGTACAGCCTCTGAAGATGATTTCGTCGATAAAGAAAATTTTCTTCGCTGAATCCGTCTTTTATTTTCTTCATGATCCAAATAAGATAAGAAATCTAGAGAATAGTTCAGCTATAGCACTACATGCAGTCACACACAACCACACAATAGGATGGGATAGGATGACAGTTTTAAAATCTAATGTCACAGGGTATAGGGCGAGATTGATAACAGAAGCTTTGTTTATCGAATCAACTACAAATACATGTAATAGGAATGATTCATCAAATGTCCCCGATATCTGGACTAATATGGAATTAAAAAATATGCTCCACTGAAAACCTCAAAAATGCACAAGTGATTATGTCACATCCCACACTATTTACCAATTTTCGTGTGTGTGTGGACATAGGTAGGAGTAATAGTGCTTTGCATGTAAGGGTGGGAAAGTATGTCCTGAAATATTTGGAAAAACAAATGAATTGTGTAAAACCAATAGCTGCAGTTGTCAGACTACCAACTTCGTCTATAACTAAACATCTAATGGAGATGAACAATAAGACTGATGTTAAGGTCATCTATAAAAAATGGTTAAGGGCGCTTTTTGAAATACTCTGAGGCTATAGCTATTCATAAACTTAAGCTCCCCACCCCCAACTGCGTATTGAAAAAGAATTTATTATTACTCTTAACCAACCTTGGTACTCCTTGTTTGATTGGAATACCATACGTTGTGTTAATCATTCTTAAATTTTTTTGTCACTTTGTTTAATTTAATTGCCCTTAATTTTTTCAAATATACCGACTTGAAAAGTAAATGTGTTAGGTATCAGATTGTTCGAAATGTATAGCGCGAATACATCCCACATTAGTTTTCAGATAATCTCCGTCTTCTAATAACACAGTAATATGTTTCTTCAGAAAACCTACACGTATAAGCAGAGAAGGAAAGAGTGTGAGAAATCAAGGCAAATTATCTCTGTGATTATCATTTTTGTGAGTTGTATGGTACTGTGAATAACCATATATATCTATGTATATATAAAAAGAGGAAATCAAGTCAAAGTGTGCGCCTGTTTCACTTCAAAAAAACAAAATAAACGCTCTAATATATTCATTTCATGTTAAACTGTCACGGAAATTACAAGCAGAAAAGAGAGAGAGAAAGGAAGAGCAAACGGGTACGGAACTATTCACAGCAGTAGTTGTTTTAGTAGAAGGTAGAAATAAATGTATGTACACGAAATATTTATCGAATTTCGTGAAACAGTGATTTTTATTACAAAATAAAAATTTTTTCGTAGAACTTTACAAATTTACCTTTTCCGATTGTAAATGAAACAAACAAGGGAAATGACGGAAAGATTTGCTTATAGTTATTCAGTATGAGTTGAATTTACCTCCGATGTTCTTTTAGCGGAATATTTGAAAAGCATCATTGCCATCATCATCATCACTTTTATTCTGTAGAAAGTGTTTTAAATGAAACGCAGACGTTTTATTTTTGCTTTTGTATCTCCCGCGGATTAACTATATTGAACTGAGAATGTTAAGTCTGTGTTGACAAATTGGTTAGTTTTAAGACCCACCCTGAATGTCATCATTCACTGGGGATTACAGGTATTTACAGCTGATAAGTTGATGAAATGCATGTCCTGAGTTCCACTGCTAGTTCTGATCCACCAAATAGAATCAGGACATGTGTCAAATATCCAGATCGCTGAGATCTTCGACCTGTTGCTGGTTTCAGAAGATTAAGCCTAATGCATAGAAGACTGTGCACTGTAACCGACAGAGTGTAACAACAGAAAACGTTTGGGCAACACGATTGTTTATTTATTCTTGTCTCCCGCCAAATGGAGACCAGTGTGAACAAACAAACAAACTATTCAGTGTTCACGAACATTGACAATGTGTCTGACTGATGTCTACTGTCAGTCATGATTTAGATACAGATTGAGAGAATTGTTATTTGATAAATCTCGGCATCGTCGGTAGCACAGCGGTTAGGACGCTCGCCGACCATGCACATGGTCCGTCGTTCGATCCCTGGCCAACGCACTCCTTTACCTCGCTAAGCCAGATATAATGCTGGTGAAGAAGAAAGGTTGGGCATGAGGCTAGCAACCCCACCCTGTAAAATAAACACTGCTACAGAAACTTCAAGCCAGTAGCTTGAAGCCCTATGTTCCACGGGGGAACGTGAAGGAAAAAAAAGATGATAGGGAAGGATTCTTCCACACTGGCGTCGTTGCTGGTTTTGACCAGATACTCTTATATGAAACTGTTGATGGTTATTACTACACCCTTACTTTGCCATACTGGGAGATGTTCTCGAGTGAGCACGAAAAATCAAGTTCCTAGAGCAATGGCAGAAATAACTCGCTCAATCACAAGCGCAGTTGAATTGGTAGATACAATTCGAAATGGCTTGTCAAGGTACTTCGTCTTTCAATCGAGGAATCACCATCGGTTGTGTAGAGAATAAGACGTGTATTTCACCAGCATTAAAAGTTGTTTGAACTGATTTTCTTAATTTCTTCGAAATTATTTCACTTGGTATATCCCCTTGAATTGCAGTCGTATATAAAGAGGCTTCTTGTTTACGGATAGTGAGTAGTCCTTTTCCGCTTTCTTTATCATGTGTCTCTTGATAAATTTGTCGGGATAGCTATTTTCAATCAAGGTATCATATAACATGCTTAATTTATCTTCAGTTACTTCTTCTGAGCATATGGCTCTAACTCTGTAGCTGACGATCTTTACTAAATTTCTTTTCTACTGGAGAAGAACAATGGAACCCTTTCAAACAGTTAATTCACTTGATTTTAAAAAATTGGCATAAATTGGGAATAAAACAAGAATTTTTGAATTTTAGGATGTTTAGAAATTCATGCGTCCATGGAATCATTCATTTCACGATCTTGAATGAGATATGAATTTATTTTTTTGTTTATTTTATTTCTGATTAAAGCTTGAAACCACACAGTGTTTCTGGTGCAAGTATGGAATTTTCAGCATGTGATATCGGCAGCCCAAATTTTGCAGGCCGATCATTGATATCGGGTGTGCGCCGGCAGGCGATCGAACCCCAGACCATGTGCATGGTCGGCGAGAGTCCTAAGCGCTGTGCCACCGACGCACACAAAGCCAGCTCCTCGACCGGGAATCGATCCAGGGCTTTCCACGTGACAGGCGGAGATACTCACCACTATACTAGATCACATTAAGGAGTCTGAAATCTGGAGTTTGACTTTTTTTCTAATTTGCAGCGAATACATATCAACTCTCACCTTTTACCTTCAAAAAACTATCAGTAATCCCAATGCTTTCCTGTTTGTTTGTTTTTCCTGTAGACAGCCGTCTAGTCCGTTTCCAGTTGACACAAGATGAAATAGCAGCCAATGATGATCCTGTCAATTGTGTACACATACCGAATCGAAGTGAATATCAAACGCTGACATCATTCCATCGTGATGAGGAGAAATACTCCCCGAATCCAAACACTTCACTATCTTCGAGTTGGATTAAGCATAATCAAGCGGAAGATGAATCGAGTCAAGCCTTTTCAAATCCATATGATCAATTAAATTGTAAAGTTCGTTTCAAACCATTTAAAACTACTACTAATAATAATAACAACAGTACTTTTAAAAATAATCATACTACTAATAATGGTAGTAATAGTAATACTACTAATAACACTATTAACAGTAGTCTGTTTCAAGACTTCTTCCAACTTCAACCGCTAACATCTAATCAACACTCAGAAGGCAATACCAATAAAACAGGGTCGTCTGAGACTACGTCCAAGTCGGATGACTTTTATCTGGCAAATGACATCCACAGAAGTGATAACGACTTTTTCCAGATCAATAAAACGGTAACAAAGCTGAGCAAACTCAATCCGGTCTCAGACTGTTCCACAGTTGATTGTATGCATAATATGACAAATTGTAATCGTACTCACAATGATAATAATAATAAAAGCTCAAATAACAGTAATAACAAATCGCCGAGTAAGTCATCTGAGGATAAAAAGCTACTCAAATCAATACGTCAACCAAAAGTGGTGACTTTAATTTCACCGAAAAAAGAGCCCACAATTACTATGAATGAAACACAATGTTTATTTACAGATAAAGGCAATGGTCTTGTGAACAAATCTTTAAATACAGAGGGAAGTTTTGTTTAAAATTGACAACTATTGAAAATGATTCAATGTGTTCAATACATACACTGTTAGGTTCAACAATATTTTATTTTTAATTTGAAATATGAACATAAGAAATTATTCGACTTTTTATTGAAATGATGCATTTAATCTACGTTACCATAGAAACATGAATAACAAATATACATATATTTGTCGTAAGAGGACACACAAACAGATCAGTTAAACAAATTCAAAAATAGATTATTTAACACATGATTTCATTTTTCTTTTCTGATTGTTTCATTGCTAATTTTGTTTTTTGTTTTCTTCTGAAAAATGATTTTCTCTCCCTCTCCGTCTCTTGAAGTGATACACTAGCACAAAGCATCAATTTTGTGTAATATTGAACATTGAAGCAATTGATTTCCTCTTCAACATTCACCTTCTTATCTATAAAGCTTGTTTTAATTTGCTTCCGAACGCATAAATTCAAATATTCGGCGCGAAATACCTGTTTAAAAAAACAGACAAATAAAAAATAGTCTAAACAAAGAATATATATGTGTATATTTTTTAACAAATGAATATAATAAACTAAGTGAAATATTATTGTAAATAGTTGGAAAATACATTTACATTTGGTTAAAAGGAATTTATTTGTTTATTTATTTCATTGGAGTTGTAGCTTATGTCTAACGAAACGAGGTTTTTCGCAGAAGCTTGTTAAATAAAAGGATTCTGTGAGTACGAAGTTGTTGAATTTCTTAGAAAGTATTATATTTATTCAACGAACATCTTTTAACTTTTTGGTTCCTGAGAAACCTAAAACATTGTCGTGAACAAGTTTGTCTGGCTGGGAGAGAGTATCTGCCGGCTAGGAGGCTTTAGTTATCTGACAGTCTGATGTATTTTTTGGTATTCTAGTGTTATTTTGCAGGAATCTGAATCGCTACGAAATTTCAGCCAGTATTGGAGTAGTGGACAGTTGTTTCGTCAGCCTGATACGCACCACCGAGGTTCGAACCCAGGACCTTTGGGTTACAAACCGAGCTCACAGACCATTCATCCAATGAAACCTGATCCAACCGCTTGTCTATGAATCCCATCTTCTGCCAGTTCGTAGCATGTACTGCCTGACCACTAGTCAGTATCACCTTAGGCGAGTATTTGTCCTCACACACGACCTGCTGTATCTCACTGGTCATGACTTCCCACTAGAACCCAGATAATGCCAGTCGAAAGTGAGCATCTCATTGATATTCCAGTGTTGGTTTACGGGTATTTGATTGGTTACAAATACTCGCCAATGACATATGCTAGTGGTTGCGCTACATACCGTGAATCGACAGCAGTTAGAAATCATGCAGTGGTAGTTAGATCAGGTCCTAGTGATTGAATGGTCTGCGAGCTGGCCTTGTAACCGGAAGCTCATGGTTTCAAAACCTGACGGTTGGGGTCGGGTACTGATGATGAGTCCCAAATTGGGACAAAACACTGTACACTACTCCCAGTAGGTTTTCCAATAGTTATCTAACTAACATCAACTCAAGATGAAATCCTGTAAACATTTATTTGTTCTCGTTTCTAAATAAATATTCCCACTATTGTGAATGTAAGGCAAATCAAGAAACGCTGAGTTCTTATTCTCCTGCAAAGGTTTACCGCTAGCTGATAATACTAATAATAATCTACTTTATTCCAAAAACAGTACTTATAATACAGAATGGAATTCTCAGCATTTGTCACAATATTGCATCTGATTTGCTCAAAATATAAATAAAATTAAAACAAAATTAACCAGAAGAATTTCTCCACATTTAAAGTCAAAAATATTCGAAGTAGAAAGTGAGAATAATAAATATAATAGTAACAATAATAATATTAGTGAGTTTGTTTCAAACAGTTTTGTCGACTCAGTTTGAAAATTTTAACATTTTATCAATCATTGAATCTAATATTCTGTTGATATAACAGCATGGTGAGGGGAAACACAAAATTAACAGTTATAACACTGCTTAAATGATGTTCACACTTATGAAAAAATAAACAAATAAAAACAAAAACTTGAGAGGATTATAAATATAAGAAGAACAGTAACAATAAAGGTTGATGTTGTAAGGGTGGATGAAATGGTTTATTTAATAGTGCAAAGAAGGTTAGTTAGTTCATGCCTAACACTATTTTCATCACATAAATACGTGCCGCCAAATATGGTATAGTGGAATTTTTATACTTAGACGTACGTGCATAAAGTCTTCTGAAAAGACTTCTTGTTTCAGCCGAGGAGAAACAAGGTTGGAGCTGCGAGTGCTGCGGTGGATGCTCACAGTCTGACAAAATTCCTTTAGCAAATTTGTTGCATGAAATCAAGTGCCTATCAATGACGATGTCAAAGATATGGTCCAATGGGATGTCATCACTCGCCCTACTACGAAGTATGACATAGTCCTTTTAAGCAATCCAGGAAAGAATAAGGGTATACAGTAAAGAAGAATAGGTAAAATACATGAGTTGGCAAACTGTAATAAGAGGAGGGGTTGGCTTATGCCTGATTGCCTTAACTTCTTAATGTAAAAAGTTAGACGAAATATTCTTTCAGAAATCGTCAAGACATGGAAAGACCAGGATAGGTCAGAAGAGAGAATTAATCCAAGATACTTAACTTCAGACTTGGTTTCTATATCAGTATCATCAATTTTGCAGCGGTCATAGGAACCAACAGCTTCATTTAACTTTCTTTTACATAGGATACTGAAATTCACAGTCTGACATTTGGAAGGATTTAGTTTAAGGCCATTAGACGAAGATCCTTTTCTGACTCTTGATAGAAAGCTGTTCATCTTAGTACAATCTAGCTGGGAGTTAACAGATATTGAAATAGCTAGGCCGTTGGCATACTTAACAAAGTTCATTTCATCAGAGTAAGGCAAGTCATGCAAGAAGAAAGAAAACAGAAAAAGAGGAAGGACAGCGCCTTAAGGGACACCAGCCTCAGTAAGCAATGAAGTGGACGACTTTCTCTGACATAGAGTGGACTGCTTTCTTCCTGAGAAATAAGAATGCTGCCACTTGACAACCCATTAGTCAGTTTGAGTTTCAGAAAGCTTGTTTAGTAAAATGTCCCTAGGTACTGAGTCGAAAGCAGATGCATAATCTAGGAGGGTGCGGCGAACAAATACTGTTTATCAATCTGTGCTAAAAGTAATCGACCTTCCAGATACAAAATTATCACGTTTGATTTTGTTGATGCCATAATTGTCAATCAATTATTGATTGCTTAGGTCATTGTGACCTAGATAATTGGTGATGCTGTTTCATGTGAGTAGTCTCCACTTACTGGTACAAACCAGTACTGCATATACCATAATCAGCAGATAACTACTTCAGCGAAGGCTCATCATCACCACATAACCAATTGAAGGTCAAGATGGAGTTTCAGCCTAAACTCAGTTATATTAGATAACACATATTTAACTAAAAACAATCCATTGAGGAATAAAACAAGAAAGAGATAGCTGTTATGACAGATGTCAGTGAAACCCTCAGGCCAACGACGAACTCGTTGTTTCCCGTTTCCAGCTTTCACTCAACTGATGTGGCCCGGCGTGTGATGTCAATCAATGGTGCTGCGATCCATCTCCATTTCTGTCTAAATATGTATAAGGCAATAGGTTCTGCGTCATTTCGTTGTCAGTGTTCCCAGTTGCTTATCCGTTCTAGCCGGCCACCAATTTTCAAGAATTGGTTTTGTGGAGATTTTTGTTTGATTGGTTGAAGGATTTCATCATGAGCTGACATCAATTAGAGAACCACGGGAAAACCAGCTGGGAGTACTGTACAACTATTTCCCCCTAGTTTGGGACTCTTTAGCAGTACGTATCCGCCCACTTCCGAAAGCCACTTCTGAGTAATTATATCAATTATGTCAACCCTCCTCCTGCCTTATTACTCAATAATAGACTACTATACATTTTTGGTAAATATAAATACGACCGTACAACCTCTGGATATGATTTCATCGATGAAGAAAAGTTTCTTCGCTAAATTTGTCTTTTATTTTCTAAATATATCTGAGTTATAATAAAGTTTGCAAAATACATATTTCAAAATGGCGCTCTTTATTTTTCATGTAACAGGTATGATATAATTGAATTTTAGATTTTCCCGTCGATTGATTGGACCGAAGTGCTTTGGCGTTTGAAACCATGGGCAGTGGGTTCGAGCCTCGGTGGGAACATCATCACTCACTGAGAAATGCAGGTACATCCCGATGACGAGTCCCAAATAGGACGAAATGCGCATCCTGGATTCCACTGCTAGTCACCATCCACCAATTAAAGGTATGATATACTTTAGAAATCCTTTTCAGTCAAATTTAATTCATGCAAGCGATGAAATTAAAACTTAAATCCTTAGAATTTTTAACTGTCATAAAGCAATATGAGATATGAACAGTAGAAAAGAAGAATTTTACATTGCAGGTTTTCTTCAGAATCCTTACATTCATAAGTTTTTTAGGACTACAAAATATACTTAATGAAAAATGTTTTCTGTCATATAAGGAAACCCTTTACTTTTTACATAAAAATAACATTAATCATTCAAGTTTCTAGTTATGAAAAATTAAAATTATAAAGCTTTAGTAAGTAAAGATGAATTAACAGGAAGCTTTCTAGAGAAGACTTTGTTTTATGACATCACCATTTCATTAGTCTGACAATCTAAAATAGTTATTCATATACATTTATGTATATATATAAAGCAATAAGAAGACGAAATTTGTCTAAATCGTGTTGTAATGTATTTGCGCACAAAACATTTCGAGCAATCTGGTCACATATAGACTTGTCATAGGAATATATATGTATGAAATTAATAAAGAGTTAAGAGGTGAGAAAATAGACTGAGGTGAAGGTGAAAGGACATATTGAGGGTCAAAATAACAATGAAGATCACTAAAGCAAATAGCAGAGGTAATAGTACATCTACGCTGGCTGGTATCAAAACAAAGTTTACTCGAAGGAAGGTTTAGTGTGATG